CTTTCTTGTAATCCACACGTGACCAGCATGATATGATTTTTAATTTTAATTGATCTTTTCAGTCCTTAATTTCACGAGTTTGTTGGCGAAACGTTACTGGTAGAAAAGAGGCAGAGGGGATAAATACAAGAAGATAAATATTTTTCGCGGAGTGCCAAAGGTGATAAGTCAATAAGGTGCGTCGATGATGATTAAAGAAAAGTGTGTATCCGTCTACAAGATTTTCAAACGGCCTCCATCTTCAGTAACAGGAAGAATTTTCTAAGAATAAAATTTGTACTAAATCTTTTTTGTACAATGTAAATTTCGGGCCGAGTGAACTCGAATCTTCATTAGCTCACTTGAGAAACGATATGTTTGTCTCTCGCATGTCTACAGCCTACATTTTTGGCACAAGATATGTGAAAGGTGCGAGAAAATGTAGCAAAAGACGACTGTGATTAGCTAAACATTGAATGGTAACGAACCCCTGACCATGGCCATCTTTCTGGCGCATTCGCCAGACGATCATTTGAGGCCAAGCTCGATAGAGAAACTTCAAAATTCAAAAATTTCTCCTCCAAAGACCAGTTGTATGTAGTCGAGAGGGATATGGATACTGACGTACTTTGATTTTATGAACCAGTATTTCAGCACAGTATTTCTCTTCGAAATGGTTCAGTGAACAACATCTACTACAAAGCAGAGGCACTCCGCAAATTCCTGAACGGGCTTCGCTATGCATATCGTTACACATCTTAAACTAGATAAATATATACATTTATTTTATTTTCGCGGAAGACATTTGACTGTTTTCTATGAATACTTCCAACGTGCTGAAAGTTGAATGCCGGCAATATTTAATAAAAACAGGAAAGGACAAAAGGCAATTATTCTGCTAGATGTTATATAGTGAGAGATGTATACATATAGATGTAGCCAGTTGAGCAGTGTTATTTGCCTTCGACGTAGCTGTGTGATATATTTTGCTTAGACGGTGTGCAAAAAATGTTCTTTTCAATTTCGTTCAATATACTGAAGCCCCAGTGGCACCAATGCACTTAAATGCGCATTAACCGCGGCAATGCGCGTAAAATACGCATGAAAGGTAACACATTTCGTGCATTGATTATGTTGCCTTGTGAATGCGTATTTCGAGATCGGCGCTCCTGGGGTAGGAAGAGAGAAGCACACCTTCCAATCCCGCTATCATTTTGGAGGTTCAATTCCCGGCCTTATTCAGCAAACTAAACCAACACTAAAGGACACCTAGACTCCGTTTTCCCACTCATGACATAGGACACAAACACATGCGCAGACACTCACACACGCACACACACGCCGCAGCACCCCGTACCACTGCACTTCCATACCTTATAGGCATCGAAAGATCTCTGGTATATCCAGTAAAGTTCGGCTTGTTCTACATCTAGAGTTTTTAGGTTCTCCTGTGTGATATATTTTCACTAATGATTCTACCATATATACTTATCTACACGTATGTACACGATTATTCAGCGATTGAGATCCTACATTAAGGCACGTGCGTGTTTGGTTGGGAAAACACAAAGACCGCCAGGTATGTGTTGTGAAGGGTACAGCTGCACCCCAGACCGAATTGCGCAATTTACAACCATCGCATTGTAAACGGCGTGCAAAAATTATACTCTCTGCGGAAACAGTGAGAGAGAATTAAAATTCACACAGTGAAGTGACCATGGTAGCACAAATCGTTTTAAGTATGTTCACTGAACGTTTAGGGAACCTAAATAACGTTCTGAGGATGTTCTTGGAAGGTTTACTCGTGCTACAAGGGGACTGCTCACGGCAAAATATCGCCTACCGTTTACAGTAAAGTGAGACACTTCGCTTTGAAGTGTAGCTTTCAGAGACATCTGATGCACCTAAGGGCCCAAAAGGGTCTGCGCAGACCCTTTCGAGCAGCTCCTTCAGGAGCGGTCAGGCCCGTCTCCTCTCCCGTCACAAACAGAAGCAGCTAGTACCGAGGCTAGTACGTAAGTTCCCTGGGGAAATTAGGACTAAACTTACTCTAGATATAGAAGAGGAAATGACTTTCCTAACTCCCCCCTCCCCCCGCGAGTGTGAATAAAATAGTATATTTCTGCCTTTCTACTCTTCCACCACCGCTTCCTCCCGCTCACTCACAGTGGAGGAGTCCCACCCCAACCCCTTGACGTGTAAACGACAGTGATACCGCCTACCGGCCTTGCATGTCACATAGGCTGCCTACCCACCAGGAGCTTCTATTCCATTCAGTTAAAATTAATCTTTCTATGGCACATACACGATTAGTATAGAGGAGCGAAACATTCAGTATTTTTCTCGTTTTTGTAGACTGAACTGTGTTCTGTACAGTTGCACAAGTTTGCTCAGAGAACACTCACTCACTCACTCACTCACTCACTCACTCACTCACTCACTCACTCGCTCACTCGCTCACTCGCTCACTCGCTCACTCGCTCACTCACTCACTCACTCACTCACTCGTTTCTACAAATTCATCGGCTATTCAATACACTCTACATTTCAGCGGCGGCTCAACCTCTTTCAACCGGCGTACCCATGTGGCACACTAAAAAAGATTTTAAAAAAAGAATAACTGTATCTTGTAAGAGTAATTTGTCGGGGAACTCATAAACTTGGGCTGTTGCTAAGCAAATGGTCAACATGGCTTCGTTGTAGAATAGGCCGGGCCCGCGGGAAAAGGAAGATTTCTTATTTAAGAACATGCATTACTTTGACTGTGCTACGTCGGGCAAATATTTGCTCATCTTTCCAAGACAAAGCAAACATTATTAACTGTCTAACGTTTCTTTTAACTGCTCTCGCTACTCGCCAGAAATTAGAAGGCGAAAATGTTTTGCTCACGCACAATTCCCCTTTTCCGAAAACTTAGCTGAACTAATAAGCGAATTGACACAAAAAACTTCAAGTCTACACGAAATTGTGAAAACTGTTAAAGGGAAAATGCATTTTAGCGGAACTCATGGCTGGAGCTTCACTGCTCACCAGCATGGGAAAGAAAAAGGGACAATCTTTTCATTTCCCATTCTGAAGCTCATTGAGCAATCGATGGGTGCACAAACTACGTCAGAATATTTTTTTTAACGGACATTAAAAAGCATCACAATGAGGTCACTCTCTGTGTGTGCCAACCCAGGAATGCTCAGTGACTTTCGCAGCGTCGCCGCCAGCCCCGCCCGCAGCAATGGGGGCTCTACACACAAACAATTCTCAGCACTGTGGATGGGATATGTCATATAGAGAGAACACAAAACGCGACAAAAATACTTTTGGTCGCCACTCGTCTCGCTGAAATTTGATCCTCAGTAAATGACGAACAATTAGCGAGCTCGCCTTTGAATAATTGGTGTTAAACACGGCTTCTTTTTTTTTGTTTTTTGACCGAAACTTCAATCGGTCGATCAGTTGAAACGTAAGTCTGTTGTTCCCTGCACACCTTACTCCATGGTGTCGTACTGCACCTTCTTGATCTTGAAGTAGCGGAATGCGCCGTAGCCCGTGATGGTGCAGAGCACGACGATGGCCAGGGTGCTGCCCACCGCAATGGGCGCGGTCTCGTCCCGGTAGGACACGCCCCCGGGAGAGCACACGAACTCTGTAAACGAGAGAGGACGGAGGAGTGAGCGTCAAACCTGCAGTGCAGCCGCTATGCGTCTGTCCACACCCACACGTCACGCGAGTCAGTCTCACCCGGGCCGAACTCGCCCTTCCTGAAGATGAAGGGCTGCACGCGGACGTCCCGGAGCAGGAGCTGCACCGTCACGTCGCCGTAGCTCATGTCCACCGCCTTCTCGCCCTCTGAGCACGAGTAGGACTTCCCCACCGGCGTCGGGAAAAGCTGCAGGTTACCTCTCCCCGAGGTGAGCTTCATCTTGCGACCTGGTGAATAAACATTACCTCTGTGGTAAAAAAATGTTTTACGTAAAATGTTGACTTACTAAGGGGGTTCGTAATGTAACTACCTGGATTTTTGATGTGTTCGAAAACTTTCGTGTTGCTAGTGTCTATACTGAGATCAGACTTTTCAATGTACCACCTTTCACCACCAGGAGTCTGCAAAGAAAATGTCCCAACTGAGTGTACTACGCTTGATGCGGCATGCGCTATACCAAAGGAAGCAGGCGACCGTAGCGCATCCTGACCTTTGTGAAGTAGCTCGTCCACTCCATGTCCTGCCACGCCACGCTCATGTAGGCGTCGTCCCCGCTGCCGCAATCGCCCGTCACCCTCGCGTTGTTGGGGATGAACACGTCCTTCTCCTGCAACAACAGTCACGCCCAAGGGTCACCGGCGGTGTCCGGAACGTCATAGCTCGTGCTCGCGCACCGGCATGGCTCTCTGGTCTATGGTAGCACTATACTCCTTCTGACATTGATTTATCTATTATACTTAAAGAGGAGGGCGTCCTTGGTCTGGGCTACGCCTGGGTCGGCGCCTCGACGACCTCGCCTCACGTGAACTCCGTCGGGACATCATATAGCTGCCGAGTTTGGCCGACTTTTCGGTCCTTTACTTTGGGAAGCATCCCCCTTCCCTCCTCCCCTCCCTCCCCTCCCGGAGCCCGAGCGTTATCAGCAAGCGCCCCTTATTGAGGTAAACTCTGGAAACCCCACACGACTTTTCTTGTCATTGTCCGGCTGGCCTTGAGCCAGGAGGGGCGGGGCGGGCCGTCCGACCGAGGCCGCCGTTATTAACCCACCGCGTCCTCCTCGTGCACCGTCCGGAACTTGAAGATGAGCAGCGCGTCCACCTTGAACAGGATGCAGGCGTTGTTTCTGGAGTCCAGGAGCTTGTACACGGCCGTGTTCGCGTCCGGCTCTGGAGCGGCTGGAGAATACAAATCAACGAAGTTTTAACGCAACTTTACGGAAATGCCTCTCCTAAAAATATACAGTCTGCTGTACGACACGATTGTTACCGTTACCTGTGACTTTGGCTGGCTTGGGAGCTTTCGTTGGGACCTTCTGGTCCTCCACAGCCAGTGGACGCTGCAAAATAAAAAATAAATAATTAAGAAACTTAAAATATATCAAAAGGTTTTTACTTATTTCCCAGAGTTTTGCACGTATGACAAGCCGATAAAGAACGGCAAGAGAAAAGACGTGTTCGGCCTTAAACTGTTTTCTCAATATCCAGTCTTAACCGGGCTAATAAGGCGTCGAGGTTGAGGCTGGTGGCGCGCGGTGGACAGGAAGGGGGTGGCAGAGGGTGTTATGTGGGTGTGGGAAAGTGGCCAGTCTGTCGGCGTTCGCGCAGGCCATCCCATCAACTCCCGCCTCCGCCGCCACCCTTGGGCGCCCTGCCCTCCTGCCCTCGCCCTCGCCCTTCTCGGACGGTGGGTGGAAGGGCCCAACAAGTCGGTCTCGTCCGGAGGTGTGCGTAGCCCCAGCAGCCCGCATCTCAGTCCTCAGTACCCTATATAATAACGCTTGACGTTGCAAAATGGAACCTCTTCCTCGCCTCGCTTTGTCCGCGCGAGCAGCTCGCCCCCGCAGCCCCATCGTACGCACAAGGCCGCGGCCATCAGTGGCAGATTGCTTTGTTCTGGGCCCCTTACGCCCCCCTGGGAGCACCAGGCGTTGCTGGGCGTGTGGGCGGGCTGCTGCCACTGCTGCTCATGACCAGCTCTCCTCACGTCGTCGTTGGCCCGCAGGCAGACTCACCGTGATGGGGTCCGACTCCTCCTCGTCCATCTCGCCGTCCTTGAAGTCCCGCATGTACTTCGGCGTGGTCCTGGGCGCCGGCGTGGTCGGGCCCTTGATGCCCCTCGGCCTCGCGGTGGAGAGCGACAGCGCGCCGGCTGCAACAGAGAGCAGGGCACTTTTAAAGCACGAGAACAACAGAGCGCGGACAGACCCCCCACCCCCTTTCCCCCTTCACCATCCTCGCATCCCCTTTTTCTCCCAACAAAACAAAAACAAAGAAACACAAACAACGCACCACCTTCGTGACCTACATCGTGGCTGCGACTGGAGTCAGAAAGTGCGAGCGAGGGAGAGGGAGCGAGAGAGAGAGGGAGCGAGAGAACGGGACGGTCAGGCAATTAGCCCAAACGACCACCCCCGGTCCACAGGGAGCGCAAGGCTTACTGTGGCGTGGTGTGACGTGCGGTCGGGTCCCGGGCGGCGTTCGAAGGGTCTCGGGGGTCAGTAGTAAAAGCAATCCGACGGTCGATGACGAAAGAGTACGAGCAGGACGGGGTGCGC